TACGCGCAAATGAAGGTCATATTGGTGTTAATGAGAGTTTATTGACCATAAAGAAAGAAATTTGGACACAAATGAATGTTTATTTTCTGTAAATGAACGGCAAAAGGTGTAAAGTGTATTATCGTTTGTCTCACGATGTAGTCACTGAGATGTAGATCGCGACGATCGCGATCGAAACGTCGCGATCTACATCTCAGTGACTACATCGTGAGAGAAACGATAATACACTTTATTATTGCATCTACCACGATGAATAACAACAACCTTTTCCTCGACATTGATTACTTTGTAACGGAAATGATCGAAAGGGTTTATAGCTTAATGGTAGAGACTGAAAGAGTGAATCAGTCAGCATCTGGAGGAGGAATACGTAGACGTGGACTAAGGGGAGGCCATCATTTGACAAAAGTAAAGGAAAACTTACATTGTTTATTAAAGAAGATATCAAGTGAAGGAAGTGAAGCGCTATTGTATGCTTTGAGTGAGTGTCAGAAATGTGGAAAGGAGTTTTTCTGAATGGCAACCATTGGACGCAGCATATCGGCACAATGATTCTAAATATAATTTTTCACGTTGTTATTGTAAGATGCTCATGTGTCAGTATGTAGATTCGTTGGCATGCAGTTTACGAATTAATTCATGCCAAGAAGCGAATATTGAAAGAGTTTGCCCGTTAGGAGCTGTCAGTCGACTATATCTCCGATTTTGATACTGACTTCATTCTGGAGATTTTGCGAAAGAATTGCGTGATAGAATAAGGCTATGCCTACTGAGAACGGATCTAATCGGATCAGCTAGTCAGTTATACAAATAGGCAAATATTGGACTGAATTACACCGATGATTTCCGTGGATAATATTTCCTTGTTTGTTTGTTGTTTTCTTGTTAATTAGACAAGTAACAGCGTGCTAAATCAATAAATTAAAGGTTTACTTGTGACTATTCACGTTTAAAGTCAAATAGCCTAGCCTCGATAACCGAACAAAGACTAGACAATAACTCCGAAAATGCCGCTTACTTAGCGCTTCGTTTCAACTTCAGCACCAGCTCTATGTAGTCTAAAGACAAATGAGCACATTTGCAATTCCAAAACGCACAGACTATGGATATATGCTGAACTTGGTATCTCACTTATTACCTTCAATTTTATTGAAAAGAGCAAATGATCATGAGCTACCCAACCAAATGAGACTTACCTTTGATATCGGACTCTCCGAGTTTGGGAGCAGTCTGTTTGCGCGCTAATACATCTTTGAGCAGTATAATCAGTCTATGCATATCCAATAAAGCACGTTTTTAGTAATAATGCGGTCTGCAACAATTGGTCGAATGCAATTAGTTGTCCCCCCAAAAGTGGTTATCAGTCGGATTGGGTTAGTTGGGATCAGTGATTTTAAAAGAAATTTCCGTTTCGGTTCAAACCCCACTGACAGGGTTGTAGACTTGAGATAGAAATCGAAATTCGTCATTCATGTCCAATACACCCAACTAGAGTCGATTCGTCTGAGGCACTTGACGATTCGACTCGATTCGCA